TTTTTTTTTTTTTTTCTCCGCGAAAAAGCTATTTTTGCTGTCAAAAAACTGATGATGTTTTTTATGGTTATCGATTCGTAATGAAAAATGTGAGCCATAATACTTAATTCTTTTAGAAAAGATGCTGTCAAAAATTAGTCCTATGAGAGAACATTTTTATGTTCACTGTTATTTTTTTTTTCTCTACAGCAGTTTTGGCTAAGTAACAGATAGAATAGGAAAACAAATTCTGGTTTATTTTATTTGATTAGATTTATATATTCTTGCCTCATATCAATTAAGACTTCATTGTTTTTTGATTGATTCTGTAACCGTTTTATGCTTCTGCAGATTCCGAGCAAATGACGTTTGACAAGAAGTTTTTTTTTTTAGAATTGATGTCAACTTTATTTTCACACACTTTTTTCTTTATTTTATAAATTGAAAAACTGAAAAAAAAAAGTATCAAAAAAAATGCTGGTTAAAAATGCTTCTATGACTTGCATTTTTCTGTTTATCTCTTCTTTTGTTGACAGTACTGTTGGATGAAATAACTGTTGTTAAGTGTATCATAATTTTTGAGCTGAAACCTTTGAGTGTTACTTAAAACCGAGAGAAAATAACTCTTTTTTTTTGACTACGGTTATAAACAAAAATACTTTTGAACTGTGCTGTATATCGGTGAACATATTTAACGATAATTTTAGTTGTTCACTTTCTAACTTATATATTTATAAGAAGGAAAAAAAAACTGTTGAAGTATTTTTATTTAAAAGACAATTTATTCTTTTTTTTTTTCAACAAAATTTTTTTTGAAAATTTAGAATAATATATGCTATTTTTTTTGTTGCAAAAACTTGTTTGTTGAATTAGTCAAAAAAAAATTGAAATTTGAATAAGGTTTCTGTTATAATTTATGAGAAGAAAATTAGCTGAACGAAAGGCTTTTCTAACAGTCTAAAGAAAAAAAAAAAGCTTACAACAGACAAAACAAAAACTGTTTTAAGGTTTTGAGAGTTATAAATTTGCTAATATTTAGAAAGTAGTAATTATTTGAAGTTGTAAATGTTAAGGGACAAATTATCGATAAGGTAAAGTTACTAAGAGCAATCAAAAGTTGAACAAAGTTTTGCAGACTTAAAATGTATTGCTGTATAAATGTTCACACCATAAAATTAGCCAAAAAAAAAAAAATGTGAGAAAGATCAAAAATTGTTAGAAAAAAGACGTCTGATTTTTTTTTTTTTTGTTTTCTTGTATTATTGACAAATTTTTCATACGTCTGTTTAAGGTGTCATATTTGATCAAAATTTATTTTATATATTAATGACAATATTATTTTGGGCAAAAATAGTGCAAAATTTTTTGTTTTGTTTTGAATGTTTGTCTGATTTTTTAATTTAAAAAAAAAAAATCTTTTTTTTTCAAATCACTTAAATGCTAAGAAAAAAAAATCAGTGAATTGCTAAAAACAACACTAACTGAACAAAAATAAAAAAAAAAAATAGAGATCTGAAAATTTATTTAAAGCTGTCTTCTCGGTGCTCAGCTGTTGTTAATTTACTTCTCTTCCTTCAAACTTTCAGTTGTTTAGCAACTTTTTCGGCTTTCAGAAGTTATAATAAAAAAAAAATTTTATTTTGATACATTGTGAAACATTTGAAAAATATTGTTTTAACAAACAGCAAACTTTAAAGGAGAGCCTTTTTTTCAACTTTATTTTTACAACAAAAATTTTATGCATTTTAATAAGTCTTTTTTTTTTGACTTTGAAAGGTGCTAAGAAAGAAGTTTTTTTTTGGTTTTGTACTAAAATTTAGAGGCACCTAAACGGTGGTTTTCAATTGTACTGTGTTGTAAGACAGAAGAATTAAACCAACATTTGTTTTTTTTGACTTAAATCATCAAAAAAAAAGTATAATACAAATGGTTATCTCTGTTAAAAAAATCAGCAACTTTTTTTTTTTTTTGCTTATGCTAAATAGTTTGTAGAAATAATTTTTTTTTTTTACTGGCATTCTATTTTACTGCACTTAAAATTGCTGTTAAAATTATATTAAGCAAAAAAAAAAAATGGTTAGAACTTTTATTTTTTTTTTTACATTCTTTCTTTTATTTATTTATCCATTTCTTTTTTTTTTGAGCAACTTCTCAACTCATTTTTTTCAGTGTTCTCAATAGTCTTATTTTTCAATAAACCTTTTTTCTTTTAACAGTCAAAAAAAAAATATCTGCTAAAGCTTTTTGAAGAATTTTAGTGTGAATATTTGTAAATTGTTAAAAAAAAAAAAAGGTTTTCCAAGTGCAGAAAATGACATTATTACTTCAAAAAGACATAAAATATTGTTGTGAAAAAAAAAATAAAAATAAAAATTTAAAACAGTAAATATTTGTCTTTTTAAGCAGTTTTAACAAAGTGACAATTTGCATAGCAAAATATGACAATTTTAAGCACGCTGAACTTCTTCAAATCATAGTGATCTGGATGGAAAATTTTTTTTTTTTTTTTTTGGGTTGTCTTATAGGCTGTACTTCAAAAAATGTAAATTTAGTGACTTATTTTTTCAAAGAAGAATTTTGACAATTCATTTTGCCAAAAAAGCAATGATAATTGCAGGATTTGGAATTTTGCTATTTTTCTCCTTAAAGGACAGCTGGCAAAAGTATTCGAATGCAGCGAGTGATCCGGTGGAAAAACTGTCGTTGATTATGAGTTGGGAAGGCTGTAATGCCGTTATTGCATCACTGATTATCGTCGTTTCTTTCTGTGAGCCATTCCTTCTTAACGTCTTATTCCCGGTTGCCTGTTAAAGTTCCGCCAATGCTAGAAAAAAAAAAAAAATTAAATTAAATTAGAATTTTTAGACTGTCTTTCTTCAAATGAAGAATGAAAGTGAATAAAATTGTGTACATAGGGTTATAAAAATGCGCTTCTGTTGATATTCTATTTGATCATCTTATTTAATGCATTTTTTCAAGATGATCAGCTATCTTGTCTCCTTAAACTAACTCTAAGTGCAGGATAAATTGGCAAATACCAAAACTGTTGGTTTGCTCTTTTTTTGTAGTAATTATTGGATCAACCACCACAAATCCGTACATACAATTCGTAACACTCGTTTTTGCTGCTGGTGTAGCAGTTTTGCTGATATTTGCCCTGTTGTTCTTCACTGTTTTTCTGCTTATATCGGGTCGCCGAGAAGCTAAGGGCTTAAAATGGTATCATGTCTTTCGACACGGTGATGCTAATTTCCCAGGTTTTTACTTATAATTTATCTCTTTTTTACTTATAATATACTAATTTATGTTG